TATATATCATATACACACACACACACACACACACACACAGAGAGAGAGAGAGAGAGAGAGAGAGAGAGAGAGAGAGAGAGGAAAAGAGAGAGAGAATGAATCACTAAAGAAACCAGGCTGTTCCTCCTGTTGTGCTTTCCCTTATCTAGATTTTGCTGCTTGGCTCTGATGGTGTTACTTCAGATGTTCCTCAAAATTAGGATGTTGGCTGTTCATGCTTGTTAGTGTCACAGCTGGGAAGCTGAGGCAGGAGGATGGTCGAGTTTGCTTCTAGCCTGGATGTGAGACCCTGTCTTAAGAAACCATAAAAATAGTGTTCCCCAGTTTGCTCTATTCTCTACTTTTATTTCTTAGCAGAAATATTTTGGAGATAGTGCTGTAGCTTTCTACCAGAAAGCACTCAATGTCTGGTGGTCTGTCCTTTTGTGATGTTAGCAGCAATGGTCATTTATTTCTTAGGAGGATGCAAAATGGTGATGAGTAATTTCATAATTCCTCATTCATTTACTTGCTGGGAAGTTTTCATTAAGAGAAATTTCCCCCCATTAACTACTTGGTTATATGAAGTACATTCATCAGACAAGCAAGCCAGATGCTTGGTTCTTCCTTTTATTTCCAAGTGAGGAGTTGGTCCCCTAGCATCCTTCAGAGAGGACCATTTTCTCAAGCATCATCTCAGTCTCAGTCTCTATTACAGTTATACTTACTGACATGTACATTATCCAAACCTGGCTGGCAGGAACCTCTTCTGGGTGATTCCTTTTGCAGTGACCCTGGTACTCACTGGTAATTTTCCTGTTTTTAGTTATGACAGAATGTTCCAGTTTTCCCTTGTACATTTCTCCATAGACTCCCAATAAACCCCATTCTACATTAGCCACTGGTTCTTCTTTATTTTTGTGTATGGATCTAAGTTTCTATCTGGTACTATTTTCCTTCTGTCTGTAACTCTTTCTTCACTATTTCTTAGAGTGCAGAACCTCCTCTCAACCCTTGTAAAGTTTCATTATACTTTTATTTTGAAAAATACTTTTGATGAGTGCAGTTTCTTTCAACAGGTCTCTCAGTGTCTCCTGGATGCTTTGTCGAAATGGGAATTCTATGGTAGTTCCCACCTGCCTTCTCTAGCCAAGAGGCTTTTTCCCCCTTTTTCTTTTCCTTAATCTTGAGTTGGTTTGGAAGTTTTATCTTTATTAACGTTTTTCAAGAATTTGATTATCATGTACCTTGAGATAATTTTCTTTGTATTATTCTGCTTGAAATTTGTTGATTGTTTTGAGTCTTTGAATTATTATAGTTTTCATCAAATTTGAAAAATTTTCAGTATAGTTGATTATGTTTAAATGAGGTGAGTTTTCTTAAACTATTAGGGGTGCAAGGAAGTGGCTAGAATAGTTGTCTAGCGTTCTTGGGAAAGGAGATTTGGGCATCATTTTGAGAAAGTTTATGGGCCTGGGCTGCTTCAACTCCCTCAAACTGAAAGTCTCAGATGCAAGTGTAAGAGATTCAGATTATTGGGGGTACAGTGTTAGAAGAGTTATTAGCACCACGGACAGAGTGTTTCTCCCAGGATGGGTTTCCTCCCTCTCAGGAGAGGGGCAGAACTGGCAGCATGTGCACTGACTGTGTCCTGGGGCTTGGTGTGCTTCCCTGACCCCATGGCTCATGAGGCTGTGTCCCTGCAGGGATCTCAGTGTGGATGCCGGCTTGAGTCCTGCGCAGTTCCAGGTGCGGCCCATCCCTCAGCACTATCAGCATTACCTAGCAACTCCTCGAATGCACCATTTCCCCCGAAACTCCTCCTCCACACAGATGGTGAGTGACAGGGTCCTGTAGGGAAATGGACTCCTTTGCTGCCTACTGGGTGTTAGTGGTGGGCTGAGGCCATGGTCTCTGTGCCTAGGCTCTTCTGAGTCTTGCCTCCCAGGCGGACCAGCTGCTGCCTTCCACTCTTAGCCCTGCTTCTTACTCAGGCTTGAGAAGGATGAAAGGGAGAGTGGCCAGAAGCCAGCACTGCTAAAGATGTCAAATACAAGAGGTAGCATGGCTGCTGTGGTCTGTGGGGAATTGCCCAGGCCTGAAAGACTCTATCCTGGGACTGAGGAGGTGATGTAGTCAGTAAAATGCTTGCTATTCAAGTATAAGGACTTGAGTTTGATTCCCAGCATAGATATAAAAAGCCAGGCCTGGTGGTATGTGTACTTGTAATCCCAGAGCTGAGGAGGTGGAAGCAGGCAGATTAGATCCCTGCCAGCTTAACCTAATCTGTGAGCCCCTGATCCGAGTGAGAGGCTCAGTCTCCAAAAACAAGAAGGACAGCTCCTGAGGAGCACCACCTGAGGTTGACCTCTGGCTTCCACACATAGACACTTATATTAATACACAGACCCACGCATACACGAAGGGAGGGAGGGAGGGAAGACTCTCTTCCTCTTATAGCCACAATGGAAGGAAGGAAGGAAAGAAGAAAGGAAGGAAAGAAGGAAGGAAGGAACGAAGGAAGGACTCTGTCAATCTTATGACCACACTTAATTTCTTGTGCTTTTTCTCCCTGGATGTGGCTTTACTTATTTGTGAGATGGAATGTGGGTGTACTCTGTGTGTCTCACAGGGCTGTTGTGAAGGTCAGAAGAGATCCCAGAGGGGTCTGGGACCTGCCTGAATACTCAGGCCATGCTCCCCTCAAGAGACAGGTCTTCTTGGAACCTGAAAATGCCAGAAAAATTAGATTGGGTTTAGGATTGCAAACTGCATATAATGAAAGTGAAGATAGTCCATTGAAGCAGCAAAAGCCCCACTGAAATTCTTAATCTTAGACAGCTTCATGTTGCTGCACCCACAGACGGAATTCTCCCTTCTCAACCCTTGTCCCTATCATTTATTACATAGCTCCTTAGTCTCTATTTGTATCATAAAGGACTTGGGCAAGCAGTCTCTGAAATGCCTGTCAGCTCTAAGAGTTCATGGCTTGCATTTGAAGCACCACATCTTGAGAATAAAAGAAGGAACATTTATTGAGCACTTACTACATACCAGGTATAGCAATGAACACTTTATGTAACTTATTTCACTTCCTCCTCTCAATAACCCACACAATCAGACATTATCTGTATTTTGCACACTGGCAAACTAAGGCCTACAGAGGTTAAAAAACTGGTCCCAGTACCTGCAGGTGAATAGCTTGATAGAAGCTCTGACCCCCACACCCCCGCCCCAGGATGAGGAGGAGGTCAGTGAGACTGGACTGAACAAGTTTGAGGCCAGAATCTGTCTTTTAAAAATTGATATTTTGCTAAGCATGGACTTTAGAAATACTGCATTAGTTACTGACTCTTTCGTCTCTTACCTTGGCCCTGGCCTTGACCTATCCTGTTGCTCATGGAGGTAGTAGAGGAGATTCCTGCCTCCCAGCTGCGTGGATTTGAGTCTTGGCTCTGTCCCTTGGTTGCGTGACATGAGCTAGTTATTTAATCCACCTGTGCCTTTCTTATCCCACCAGTAAAACAGGGATTGTAATTGCACCCAGTTTTGATCAGGCTAGGTGATTAAATTGGTTAATCATAAAGGTACTCGGAACAATACTACTGTATGGTGGGTATTCAATCAGGGTCAGCTGTCAGTATGCTAATTGTTATTCCTTCCTGGGCTATCCATTCACAAGATTGGTTCTTCATGAAGAAGGAAGGACACACGAACAGAAGGGACAGTCCTACTGACTGCAGCAGGTCAGGGGTGTGCTAGCTGGTGGTGGTGGGAGGAAGTTGCCCACTGAATTCAGGGGGAGCCTGAGATGGTCACTCTATCCAAACTGTTTTCTCCCTATCAGGTCGTCCATGAAATCCGAAACTATCCTTACCCTCAGCTTCATTTCCTTGCTCTCCAGGGACTAAATCCCAGCAGACACACCTCTGCTGTGCGGGAGAGCTATGAGGTAGGTTGCTTGTGTGGTACCAACTGGGTTGGTGAACTGTCATTACCATCCATCATTTTGTCTGCCTGTCCGTGCTGGTGGGTAGGACATGGGTGTTGAGAAGCCCCAGGATTGAAAGTAAGATAAAGCACATGGAGAAATTATGATCTTTTGGCATTAGACAACTGCTTACAGTTGGCAGTGTGAACCCCCCTCCTGCTCGTGTCTTCCACTCACCTCTGATCATGTGTGTATATGTATGTTTGCTCATGTTGAACATGCCTGTCCATGTTTTCCTTTTTCAGGAGTTGCTGCAGCTTGAGGACAGGCTGGGAAACGTGACTCGGGGAGCTGTGCAGAACACCATTGAGAGATTCACCTTCCCCCACAAGTACAAGAAGGTGAGGCTGCAGCAGACTAGCTGAACAGGGAGGAGGGAGTTGGCAGCTTGTCTGCTCGACCCCGGCCCGGCTGTCTACAGGGGATACAGTCCAAAGTCTAGAAGGTGGTCAGATACTCTATAGCTGGCCCATCTCCCCATGGTTTTCTCAGTGGCCTATGCCAATGTGTGGTCGGGAAGGAAGATGGGAGTCCTCTTACCAGAAAAGGAGGACTGAGCATGTGAATGTGGGCTAGAGTGGTCATGTGTGTGTTTGTGTCCCTATAAGTGCAAAGACACATCAGTATTTATATCAGTCAGGTGGGCAAAGGGCTTCTGCACACAAGGCCAAGGTTAGAGAAAATAAGACAAATGGGCAGTGGAGACTTCTAGACCTGAAAGCATTTGAGTCTTCTGGGAACTTTGAAAGTCACAGAGCTACAGGCTGTACCGAGACTTTTTGTTTTTTGAGGCAGGGTCTCACTATATGGCACTGACTGGTCTAGAACTCCCTATGTTGTCCAAGCTGGCCTTGAACTCAGAGATCTTCTGGCCTCTGCCTCCAAAATACTGGAATTAAAGCTGTATGCCACCATACTCAGCCCCAAAGTCTTTAGAAGTAGAATATGTAGGGTTATTACTCAGGAATCTGAACTTCTTTTGGAGGGGGTCTCAAAAAGACAGTTTCCCTGTAGCCACAGCCGGCTTGGAACTCGCTATGTAGACCAGGCTGTCTTCAATCTCACAGAGCTCTGCCTGCCTCTGCCTCCCAAGTGTGGGGATTAAAGGCATGTGCCACCATGCCTGGTAGAAATCTGAGTTTTTTTATTTTTTATTTTATGTGTATGAGTGCATGAAAGTGCACCTATGCTATGCAATACCTGCAGAAGACAAAAGAGAGTATCAGACTCCCCTGGAAATGGAATTACAGTTGTTAGCTACCGTGTGGGTACTGGGAATCCAACCTGGGTCCTCTGCAAGAAGTCAGTGCTCTTAACTGCTGAGCCATCTCTCCAGCCCTGGAATCTGAGTTTTAAAACATCAATTAGGTGGGCGTGGTGGCACATGCCTTTAATCCCAGCACTCACGAGGCAGAGGCAGGCGGATCTCTGTGAGTTCAAGGCCAGCCTGGTCTACATAGTAAGTTCTCTGGGGCTACAGTGCGACCCTATAATAAATAAATAAATAAATAAATAAATAAATAAATAAATTAATTAATTAAATGAAAATATAGAAGAAACTATGTTTTTAATGAAATATTTTTATGTTATTTTTACTTTATTTTCTGTGTATAAGTGTATTGCCTGCATGCATGTATGTGCACCCATGTTGTGCAATGCCTGAAGAGGTCAGAAGAGGATGTCTGGTCCCCTGGAACTGGTGTTAGATGGGTGTTAGCTGCTACGTAGGTGCTGGGAATTGAACCCGGGTTCCCTACAAGAGCAGCCAGTTCTCTTAACTGCTGAGCCATCACTCTAGCCCCAATGAAATATTTTCAACAAAAACGTACTATTAAGCCATGAAGAGATGTGGAGGAAGCTTAAATATGTATTACAAAATGAAAAGAGTCAGTCCACAGAGGCTGTATACTGTATACTTTCTACTTTACAATGGAAAACAATGCTACAGAAACATTGAAAAGGATCGGTGGTGGCTGGTAAGGAGGGAAAAGGGGAAGGCAGGAACATGCAGGAGCTTTTAGGGCAGCAAAATGATTTTGTATGACACTGTTATGTGAACACATGGCCTTATACATTTGCCAAAACACAAAGAGTGAACCTCGGGTTAGTTAGCTTTCCAACACTGTGACAAAATACCTGAGAAAAACTAAAGATTTATTTAGGTTCAATTTCAGAAGTTTGTCCACAATCACTTGGCTCTGTGTTTCTGGGCCCATAGTGGGATGGGGCAGAGTAAAGCTGCTCTCCTCAAAGTAGCTGGGAAGGAGAGAGAGTGCAAAGGGGCTGGGGACCAGAGATACCCTTCCAGGGCACACACCAGTGACCTGCTTCCTCTAACTAGGCCTTGTCTCCTAGTTTCCACCACCTAATCATGCCATCAAATTACTAATGCGTCAATGAATTAATCTATAATTGAGGTCAGAGCCCTCAAGGTCCAGCAGTTTACCAAAGCCCATCAGTGGGCAGCCAAGCCTATAACACAGGAGGAGCCTTCAGAGGACATTTTAGACTCAAACTATAACAAATCCTTATTATGTAAACTAAGGGACTTCAGCTAATATAGTCAATATTTGTTCATCAGTTTTAACAAGTATATCACACAAATGTGAGTGTTGCCATAAGGGGAAGTGGGGGAGGGTGTGTGGGGATAATTTACTATTCTTACTCAGATTTTATGTAAACTAGACCTGCTAGACAAAATAAGGCTTAATATAAAAATAAAAGCAAATATTTTTAAGAATTTTCTTTCCAGAGAAGTTTGAAAGTTCAACAAACATTGAGAAACTCGGGGCAGGCCCAGGCTCATCATGGTCCAGCCATGGTCTTCTTCAGCTCTCAGGAGGCCCAAGACAGCAGGAGCTGAAAGCACTTGGCATTGAAGTCAGATAGTAGTTCTGAAATTCCATTTTACTACATATAGCTATGTGACTGTGGACAACACATTTGGCTTCTCTGACCCATCCCTTTATTTTTTTGACACGGCTCCTGCAGGGATGCAGTGGGATGACGCATGTGAATAGCTATACACAGTGCCTGGTACCTACCGAGTGCTCAGGAAGGACCAGCTGATGTTACCTGAAAGGGTGTTCTTCCTAGGCTTGCCTGTGTGCCAGGTGCCATGTTGAAGACTGAATCCTGGCATATGCATCTCCCCAGAGGCAGTGGGTCTATTCATGAATGATTTCAGCCACATTTAATGAGTGCCTACCGCAATCCAGACACTGGGCAGTGCACTTCTCAGGGACGCAGCAGTATTGCAGTAACCAAGGCTGTCATCTGCCAGCAGAAAGGGATCCTTCTCTACAGAGAGGGTTTAAAGGTAGCAGAGAAGACTGTGGAAGGAAATGAGTGGCATTCTTAGGGGCCCAGAGCCCCTCTGTGTTTGTGATCAGCGGTGTTTACTGCTACCAGAGGGACACAGTACCTGTCATTGTTCAATAGGTTCCTGGAAGAGATCGAAAAGAACCAACACTGAGAACAAATATGGGGAAAATGGGCTGAATCAGCGAGATAAAGGAAATGGGCAAAAATTGGGAGAATCAGGAGTAAAATATTGTTAAAAAGGAATAGGAAGAATCCAAGATAAGAAGTGATAAACTATAATGAGTTGGAGAGATGGCTCAGCGGTTAAAAGCGCTGGCTGCTCTTGCAGAGGACCAGGTTCAAATCCCAGCACCCACATGGTGGCTAACAACTGTCTCTAACTCCAGTTCCAGGGGATTCAATGCCTTCTTCTGACCTCCAAGGGCATTGCATGACACAGGTACACTTACATACATGCAGGCAATACACTCATAAACATAAAATAAAAATAAATTTAAAATTTTTTTTAAAAGTGATAAACTCTGGAACTCGAAATATCAAAACAATTTGAATTTTTAAAAAATGAGTAAAATAAGGCAGGCATGGTGGCACACACCTTTAATCCCAGCACTTGGGAGGCAGAGGCAGGCGTATCTCTGTGAGTTCAAGGCCAGCCTGGTCTACACAGTGAGTTCCAGGACAGCTGGGGCTACAGGGAGACCCTGTCTCAAAAAGACAAAAAAAAAAAAGTGAGTAAAATAATGTAAAACAAGAAAAGCATATTTTAAATAGTAATAAGAAAATAGAAAATATATACATTAAAAATAGCAAAATATGAAAAAAGCGAGAACTAGTAAAAGTTACGAAACATAAAATTAAAATCAAGAACATCAAATTTAAAAAGGAATGTTAATGACATGAGAAGGCAGAAGATCAAATAACTATTAAAATAAATAAATGCTGAAAAAAGTCAAAATTAAAATAAAAGTTCTTTAGATCATGGAGAGGGGATAAAAATGCAAAGATCTAAGAGATTAAAAATCTGAAATAAGAAATATAAAATTTGGAAAGAGAAAAATAAAGATTAGAATTAGTTAAATAAGATACTATTAAGCTAAAATTATGACTTATAAAAAAGAAACCATGAAAAATGATAGAGAAAAGCAATAAAAACTAGGCAAGTGGTTGGGTCTTAATGGGATATTTCGTTGGGCATCTGTTTTCTAGCAGAACCAAGAGGAAGGCCACTCCTCCTACAGACACAGCTGACCCTTAAGCAGGCAGATCATCACGACTCTATTTAGGCTCAAAGTTCATGACAAACACATGAGACAATGGAGGCAGCTTGATTTTCTGGATTCTGGATAAGGGGATGTTGCGGAAGCCTGGTGTGGTTTGTAGCTGGTACACGGTGCACCTCAAATCAGAGAACAGAAGCAATGGATTATCTCACATGTTCAGCCAGGGTGGAGTAGCCCCCAGATGAAATCAGAAGAGGGAACTTTTGAGCTTACAGCCAGGGACCAGAGAAGGGAGACCTGACATCTAGGTCTGCCTCCAAGGTCCTTCTCTGATTGGTCTCCACCTTGTGACGCCACATGTCTCTCTGCAAAAATGACTTTGAAGCTTGTTTGTCTCTAGAGAGAGGACAGAATGGATCATTTTCTTTCTGTGGTTACTACAGCATGGGGATAGGGATTTGGAAGCAGGCAGATTTCATTCACTGATTAGATTCCTCCTTCCCAGAATAGCAAGCAGCAGTGATATGCCTTGTACTTGGCTACATGCACCATCTGAGAACTGGAAACATTTCTCAGAGTGGTCACCTATTTTCAAATAATTAGCATAGAATTACAAATAAGAATATGAAAGTCAAGAATATGGAGCTGGAGTTCGCACAAGTCCCATGTCCCATAAAAGCTCAAACCAGACAAAAATCCCAGTCTAGATATGGGGAAGTGGGTAAGAAACCCCAACCCAATGCAAGGAAATGTTGGCAACTGACGGCTGCCTGGGAGGGGGAGACACAGTATCTTTCAAGTGTGGGACTCTTGGTATGTTAACCAGGCTCCAGTGACTGGACCTACACCCAAGGACATTTGAGGATACAGATTAGACTCTATAGGCCTTATTATACATATAATAGAGTATGTTAAATTAAGCAGGGGGCAGATGTGGATAGAGGAGAGAATCTAAATACCATCAAAGTATATTGTATGAGAACTTCAAAAAATCCATTTAAAAGTCTGAAAAAAAAAGAATATGGGGCTGGAGATATGGGTCAACAGTTAAGAGCATTGTCTGCTCTTCCAGAGGACCCAGGTTTGGTTCCCATCACCCACATGACAGCTAACAACCATCTATAGCTCCAGTTCCAAGGACTCTGACCCCTTCTGGCCTCATGGGCATTGCACGTACAGGTGCACTTACATACATGCAGGTGAAACACTCATACACATTTCTTGAAAAAGTCAAGAATGTTCATAGTATCTACATGATGTCTAGCCTCAAACTGGTGCTACTGCCTATCTTAAGGGAACTTTCTGGTAAGTGAGAGAAATCCAACAGTATAAAACAATAATAACCACATGGTACAAACTGCAGGTGTTAGTGGTGGTGGAGGAACTGTGTTCTTATTAGTGCATAGGCAAATGGACACTGAAAGAGTGTATGAAGGAATGTGTGATGAGTGAATGAAGCATTCTGGACTTGAAAGTGGCTAGAGACATGGAGAGGCAGGGGTCTAGGTTGGACAGGGTATGAGAGGGAATGGACAGTGTGATGGGGAAGCTGATATGCCCAGGCTGTAGCTTTGCAAAGGTTCAATTCATTAGGAACCTCACTCCTTTCCAAACACTAGGCCCTTGGCAATGTCTGGAAAAATAATCATGGCATCTACTGGCCTCTTCCTTAGGTGGTTTCAACCTTCTCTCTCCAGAAGTGAGAGGGAGGGGTTAGGGATGAGTACTTAAAAAGAGACCGACCCCCTGGGCTAAGAAGAGGCTATCAAAGTGGGTAGATGAAAGCCAATGGCCTGCAGGCAAGTCGGTCCCAGGTGGTGAAAATCCTCCTCTCTCTGCTCTTCACAGCGAAGACCCCAGGATGGCAAGGGCAAGAAGGATGAAGGGGAGGAGTCAGACACAGATGAGAAATGCACAATTTGTCTGTCTATGTTGGAAGATGGAGAAGATGTGAGGTAAGAGGCCACTGCTTCATCTCTCCCTTCTCTACTGAGTATTAGTGATCAGTCACTGCATTACGTGTTCAGGGAAGAAGGTTCTTGCTTGCTTTTGGGTACTGGAGAGTATTCCAAGAGTGCTGTAGTGTTTCATGGTTGCACTAGGAAAAGGGTATAGAATGTTCTAGATGTGGTACCTATGAGTATGGATTAATGGAGGCGAAGTGTAAAAGACCTGGATAGGTCTAAGACAGTCAAGGCCTTCATAGAGGAGGGTCTTGAGATGTGTTTTTATCACAGCTTCCCATCTCAGTCATGGTTTTACTCTAGGGTCCAGGCCCCAAGAGCCCTCTTCAGCAGTTCCTCGGTGGTCCTGGTCCCCTTGCCACTGCTATTGATCACCTGACTGTCCTCTCTTCTAGACGTCTACCTTGTATGCATCTCTTCCATCAACTGTGTGTGGACCAGTGGCTCGCCATGAGCAAGAAATGCCCCATCTGCCGAGTGGACATTGAGACACAACTGGGAGCCGACAGCTGAGGGAGGAGCTAGCCAGTGAACACCCCATTTCCTTCACCAGGTCCCCCTCCCACGGCCCATAGCCCTTGCAGCCAAACTTTGCCTTCTGAGCCATTTGACGTAGAGAAGAAGCCTGCAAGCACATTTTGTGGAAAGAGGAGTTGGTATCAGTGTCTGAGGGAGAGGCGGGGTGGGGAGGACCCACCCATCTGGAATGGTGACTGCCTCATCCACCTTGCTGTGCAGGAGGGAGGGAGCTGGCCGTGTCCAGAGCAGGGGGCAAGGAGGGGGGCCCAGCTGCTTGAGAACCAGATGTGATCTTGAGGGTACTAGCTGGTGACCAGCCCCTCAATCCTGTCCCTTGAAGGATTGTGTATATACCTCTTGACCACGTAGAAACCATGTAGGGGTCTCTAGCTATTTCTGTGGATGGCAGCCAGAGCATGTTAGCTTAAGAAAAATGTCGTGTGTGGTGCTCTAGTCATCTGTGGTGGACATGTCGCTATTACCGAACTTGCACCAAATATTTCTCATTGAGTTTCTTGTTTGGTGCCTGACCAAACCAACCAACGACAGCCCCAATCTTCCCATCTTTATGAGAGAAAAGGAAAAAAAAAAAAAAAAAAAGAATCAAAGGTGAAAACAAAAAAAAAGAGCCAAATCCTGTTTATGGTGAAAAAAGATATTTTTCGCCCAGGTTGGGAGGCGGGGGGTGGGAGGTCTTGTTTTGTTGTTTTTGTTTTTTCCTTGGGCTTTGTTTTTCTCATGTTTACAGTGCACGGAGTGTGGAAGGGGTATCTTGGAGGGGGGGCTTGAAAAGAGCAAATGGGGTCTCACTGGGTTTCTAAGGGGTTCAGGCCAAGTGAGGAGGGCAGAGGCCTAGCAGGTGAAGTGGGGGTTCATCTCAGGGTGGGCGCCCCAGTCCTAGGGCCCATTGCTTGGCCCCAGCTGTTTTCCCGGGTTCCACACTGAACCAGGGAGGACACTGCCTCCAACCACAGCTGCCCTGTATTCCTGGGAGCCAGCAGGCCCCTGCTCACTCCAACTCCTATCTTTATCCTCAGCTCTCAGTCTTGTCACAAAGAGGCAATGTAGCCACTGCCTCCCTATGCAAAAAATTAACCATATGATGCAGATAAACAGCATAGGTGATATGTACTTGGCTTTGGCCAAAGTGCTCTCAGTTAGCACTCAGGGCTGAGGTCAAGACCACAACTTTGGGAATAACCTGAGCCTCCTCCAGGATGCCTCAGGCCCTGATAAGCATGTCAAAAATGACCCTTTGCTAAGAGACCACTTGGTTGGGCTAGGAGGCCCCTGGCCCCTAGCCTCTCGCTCCTTCTCTGACTCCAGTAATTTTGGGAAAGCACCTTTCTCTCTGTGTGCCTCAGTTTCCTTCTCCTTCTGGTGGGGAGAAACAACAGAGCGTCCCCATTTCCACTCCCACTTTACCTAGATGTGAAGATTAACACCATCCAGCCCATTCTGTGTTTTCCACTTTCTCATGGAGCCTCTGGGGGTTTAGTGTTTGGGGTGCTAGGGAAGACAGGTCCAGAAGTTCCAAGTGACACCATATGGTGTGTTTTTCTTCACCACCTTATAATTTTTCTGACCCCAAAGGGAGCAGAGACATGGGAGGACAGAAGACTGGAGGAGGGTGAAAATTCTACCGAATTCCTACCCAAACTTAGCTCTTATCTCTGTGGAAAAAACGCCAGGTCACCCAGCATTCTGTGACCTCCCTTTTCCCCTTCTCCTTCTCCTCCTTCATTTGTACTGCTCGCAGAATCTTCCCTGACCTTGATCCCGATCCAGTCTCAGTGCCCTCATATCAGTAAGACTAAGAGGCAGGATGCTGACCACATAAATGAAGAAATTCCATGCAGTTAAGCCGGGGATGAACCAAGATCAATGGGCAAAAATGACAGAGGCTGACTGGACTTGAGAGACCCTTGCAGCATAACCGACACCATTCTGAAGGAATGAAGAAATGCATGGCTGCTTATCCATTATCCAGGCAAAAGTTTCTCACAGGGCCTATCTTCTGGTATCCCATAAAAATCTCTGTTGATAGCTTAGTGGGGCACGGGATGAGGAAGACAACAGCTAAGAAGATGAGGTCCTTACCTGCTGGAGCCGCCAGAGGAGCTGAGGAACAGCACACATCCAGTAGTGCTTATGGTGAATAGTCTGAGAATCAAGGTCAGCAGAGCTGGGCACGACATCATCCAACTCAATGATTGCAGTACTGAGCAATGTCTTCAGGTCAAAGGCTGGACACCCACGCAGTGAGGAAAGGACATCTGAGTGATATCCACGGGAACTTGGGAATTCTCTCCAGCTCTTCCTCAATGGCTGGGTCAAAATCAAGATTTCATCAGAAGATTGCTTTGGCTTGGAGGTGGTGCAGTGGTCCAGGCAGGACACTCTTCTAGGTATTCTGTTCATTCCTCTGAGACTGGCCTGAGAAGTTGGCAGGGAAAGGGAGTCAAGAGGAGCCAAGAGGGAACCAGAGCTAGTATCCTAGGTTCTGGTCCTGGCTCTTCAATAGGCAAACTGACAGATGCTAGACCCTCCACCCACACCCCTTGCCCTGCTAGGCCTGTATCCTCAGCAGCTACACAAGGAAGTTGGATTAGATGCCTGCTAAAATTCTCCAAATATATATTCTGTGATTCTCCCTAATATCAGCACATCTTTCAAGTCGCAGGGCTGTGTATTGCCAGGGCTGCTGAGAGGACTTCTGTGGCTACACATATCTGCTTCAGAGGCTGAGGGCATGCTGTGATGAGAGGATGGGATGGTCCCTTCCTCCTCATTTGTTCAGGCTCTTTGAGTGCCCCAGCATAATATCAGGACCTGGGCAGGGAAGGGGTAGACCCTGCAACTTCCTCCCCTTCCCACCTCCCTGGGGTGCTTGTGCCCTGAAGGTGGGGGTAGGAGGGGCATTTAGAACCCTTCCAGCTCCTGTTTCCTCATCAGGGCAGCCAATGGGGTGGAGTGGGGCCAGCTTCGGTGTGCTTCTACTGCCTCAAGATCCCTAGTCTGGTCCGGGAGCCTGAGAGGAGTACAGCTGAGGCAGGGCCCAGGCCTCAGCATCTCACACTCACCATCTCCTGGAGGGAGACACCTGTGGTCCTCCTTCCCAACTCAAGGGACTCAGACCCTTTCCTGACTGAGACGCATGAGTGCCTTCTGGGGTGAGAGCGGCCCCAGGTTCAAGTTGGGCCTCGTAACCACAGCCATGGCACAGCAGGTCCGCCAAGGACACCAGTCAATCAACCCAACGGCCATGAGCATAAGCCCAGTTGGGCACAGCAGAGGGTGGCAGGGGCTGCACGCTGCTCCACCGGGCCAGGAGACCCGGTCCCCTGTCACCTTTGCCCGCCACCTATGGCAGGACTCAAGCACCTTTCTGCAAAGGTCCCCAGCCTCCGTGCAAGCATTCTTAACTCTTTACGCCTAACGAACAAGCACAGTTTTTTCAATGGTGAAGAAAAAGCACCAGACTTTTTTTTGTCCTGAAAAGATCCCCCAAGCCCCCCACCCCACCCCACCTGCGGGACAAACATTCCCTGTGTGGGGCTGTAGCAACGTCTGTCAGGTCTCTTTGTGTTTCATCTCCTGCGTAGAGCAAATGCTAGAGCGATTTCAGCTGATAGAAAAACAAAAATGAAAAAAAAAAAACACAAAAAATAAAAAACATGGCACGTTGCTAGTTTACAGGGTTTTGTGAGTTTAAATGCCTTATATTTAACAATCATAATTTATGACTAACTTGTAGATATCGTGGGTTCTTATTTAATTATTTTTATAGTTGTTTTGCATTTTTAATTATAATTTATTTATTTAGAAAGGATACTAATGTTTTTTATTGCTCCTATTACCTCATTTTGGCGTTGTTTCTGGGAGTGGAATGCTTTGCATGCATTGGTACGAAGACAACTGCGAAAACAAAAACCATTTTAAATAAAAGTCTGCGAACTTTATTTCGTCCAAACTATCAGGGTGTGTGATTGCAAGCTGTCCTACTGTGGTGCTGGCCTCTTTGGATACATTCCATAGGAAATGCAAACCTTTGATTCTGTATGCTGTGATCTAGTGAAAAAATCCAATATAGTGACTGTACTTAGCACATATATAAATATAATTTGCACTCGTCAGCAGACTGGGGTAATCCTTTCACTTGCTGCCCTTGGCCCCCTCCTTCAGCCCTTGTGCATCTCCAATGTACTTTCTTTCTTCCTTCCCCTTCCTACATCCTGAAGCCCACTCACTCATCCTCCATCTCCTGAGGACAGTTTCAGGGCACTGAAGATTACTGGCCATACCTGGACTTCAACTCACTAAGATTCCAGAATTAGAATCCTTTAGACATAGCCAATAGAATATCTAAAAGACAAAAGGGCCGTTTTATTAAGTGGAGTACCAGGAGGCTTGGATTTTCAGACTAGCTCCATAGCAGGCACCTGGTGACCAAGAGCAAGCCCCTGACCTCCCAGAGTTAGTTTTCTGTTCTTGGAGAGCGAGGCAAGAAAGGGGATCTCTAGGGTCTCTCTGATTCAGAAAGAATATTATGCATTGCCAGGGGGTAACACCAGGATGGATCTCTCATCCTCCAGAGAGAGAGAAGAAAGAGGAAAAGATGGAGGGAAAGAGAGGAAAGAACAGAGAACAGAGGGAACAAGCTGAGGGTTTATCTTGGAGATTTGCTCAAAGCAGACATCCACAGAGCTTTTATTAAGAGCAATGTCCTGCAGGTGATAGGGAAGTAAGTAGGTAGATACATCCCCGGGTATGAAACAAGGTTCAGTGGTCATTCAGAGATTAAACTGAGTTCCACACCTTGTTTTCTGATGGGACAGGTTAGTAGAAAAAAGTCCCAGACTACAGTTTTTGGGATTGCCTAACCCCACCCATGTTGGCATCTCCTTGGAGCATTTGTGGTTAAACATCACCCATTGACAAGAGCTTGGGATGCAGAGTTTACACCATGCCTTCTCTTCCCCAGCATCTCTTCCTTTCCCTTCTGTCTGTGCCCTACAGGGACTCTGGGTGGGAGGACCTGCCATGGAGTTAGGAGGTTTTGGTCTCCAGCCTCACTGATCCATGGAAGATAGTGGGGAGGCCTTGGAGATGCAGGCCCTCAGAATAAGCCTGTGAGTGGGCTAGGATCCTGGCATGTTGCCCCTCCCCTCCCTTCTTTTCCCAATTCATCCCTCCCTCCCTTTTGGCTCTTGAAATCACTGCCTTTGCCTGGTGGGCTGCTCCATCCTCCACAGGAGGCTCCATGGGGTTGCATGGTGCTGGCATGGAGGAGGAAGCAAAGACCTAAAGTTGCCACACTACCTGGCTAGTCTTGACTCAGTGGCCAGGCCAGGTGTAGTTCCTCAGCCCCATCCCTGGGATGGGGCTTCTTGCCTGCTGCTGCCCAGCTTCCCCTTCCACCTCCACCTGGAGCCTTGCTTTTCTTGGAGATGGCCCCTGGAGTCACCCACCATGCTGGGGGGGAGCACAAACACCACACTGCCGGACCTGACATACATTGCACCCAGCAGGATTCTGCATGGGCATGCCTATGCTGTTCTGTGGGGCACTGTGCCCTGTCTGGCCATGCCCCACCCTTGAGCCTCCCCC